TTTACAGGTGTGGAAAACTCCATCTTTCTCCCTCAGAGCAGCTGGTGGTTTTGAACTGCCGATCTCACAGTTTGAAGTGCAGCTCATAATCGCTACCTCACCAAAGCTCGTCTTGGGAGGTAAAGCAGGCCAAAAGCACTCTAAACCTGCTGATTAAGCCCCTAGTTCAGACTCTAGCCTGTCCCTTCCCTTTGTAAGAGGAGCTGGTAAAACAAGCACATCCTGTGTTCTTGGCACCTCTCTTTTATTTGATTTGGTGTTTCTGGGTGAGGCTAGCCTTTCGTCTCCGTTTCTTCTCTGTCTCATGAGAGAAATCCTCTCTCAGTGTGAACCACTGAATGCTAAACCACACCAAACACTGTCAAGTCATTTCTGATTCAGCGCGTTTCCAAGGCTGGAGTCTCCATGGAAATAGACGACAGCATCCCAAACCACCGGGCTCTTAACCACTGCACCACCAGGGCTCCTTAGTCTGAGCCCAGATTATAGGGTCATAGAGGAATAAGGGGCCCCGTGTCTCCAAAGACCCTCCCAGCCCTCCCAGCATAGTAAAGCTGGACGGAACTGCCCAGCATCTGGATGAGTTCACATTGTAATAAATACAGACAGGACACACACCCCATTACCACCACGGCCATGGTGCCACACCAGCTTCGGTGGTTCCAGCTCAAGGGGTCTTTGTGGTGGCACACGGCAGAGGAGTGTGGCAATCCCAGTGGAGACACGGTGTTAGCTAAATTCTGGATAGAGTTGCTGTGTCTGGGTGCTTGCAGGGGTGGCTAGAGGATGCTAGGGTTAGAGAAGTTGTGCGTGTGTGCAAAAAAAGTAATACTTTGGAGAAAGACTAGGCCGTTAGCACTGCATCCCTGAATTTCCATTCTCTCTCCGCCCACCGCATACTTCACCACAAGCGTTCACATTCTGTATGTCATTCCCTCTCCACCTATTGCCCCATGTGTGAGTATGAATTTCCATCGTCTACAGAGGAGGGGCAGCAGGCAACAGCCACATGGCGGGGAGAAGATCGTAAGTCCAGAGCTTGAACAGGCCGGATGACTCCAAGTTCAGTGCTTCTCACCCTCACCCTCTACAGTTTCCCCTTTCTGAGTGCAGGGTGGCTCCCGGAGAGGTGGGGGCAGTATGAGGACATCTCTAACACCTCAACGTTCAGGAACATTACATAAGAGTGATAGGACCAGCAAGTCATTCTGAGTCGCCAGGCCCATCCCCTGGGGGAAGATTTACAGAAACGTTTTTCGCTTCTGGCCCCTGAGCTCTTGCCTTTCAGACAGAGCTGCTCCCTTCTTGCTGGCAGTGTGACTGAAAGGCTCGGTTTTCATGTTGAGATGTGACCCTTCTCCCAGCAGCCTACACCACAGAGCGAGATGCTGTTTCTGACAAGTGCGAGCCCTTCGTTCTTATGTCCTTCCACATACACGACAGGCTCCGCTCGCTGCACTGGGCCTTGAGCTACTGAGTCTTGTTGATGGTGCATTTTTAACAGATGGAAGGTGTGTGGCGACTGAGTCCCAGCAAGTCTACTGGTGTCATTTTCCCAACAGCAGAGTCTCATTTTTGTGTCTCTGAGTCACATCTCGCTGTCACAGTGCTTCAAACTTTTTTTGTAACACTATTGCCCAACTAGTAGACTATATAACGTATATAACGTATGTTATACATAGTATGTCTAAACGTAACTTTTATATGCACTGGGAAACCCAACTAGTCTTGTGACTTGCTTGATCGTTTTGCTCTGGTGGTCTGGAGCGGAATCGGCAATGTCTCAGAGGTGTGCCTGTATGTTGTTGGAAGGGGTGAAAGAGCAGGCTCCAGGCTCCAGGGAGATCTCTCTGATCCATGCTGTCAAACTTGCGTTCCAAGGGAGAAGTCCACTCTGCCACAGTCATGAAGGTAAGCAATCAGGAGGCCACCTATTGAAGCCTCAGGTACCAGTTAGCGGCAACCATTGCTGCTATTACCTCCACTGTCTCAGTGGTCTCTCCACACCATCCATCAAGATCATGCCCAGACCTTGCCATGCTGGTGTGGAAGGACAGCCTCTGCCCTCCCCTGCAGCCCCTCTACTGAGGGTCGGTGACCTTGTCAGGCAGCAGAAAACATCAAGGTTGCCAGGAAGATAACTTCTGTCTTATTTCCATCTTCTAACTCTCCCTAATTCATATACTTGGTAGGATATAATTCACATGTAGTCACCTAGCTGCAAGCAAGGCTGAGAAGGAGAGTTTTAAACTTCATTACTTTAAAATGAATGTTCAAACCACCTATCTACATATATGGGAGGGGAGGGGTGTCAGATAATGAATATTTATAATAAAAATATTCTAAAGAGATTTTCTACTTGACTTTGACTGAAATTTTATGTGATGAAATTAAAGAACATCTTATGTCTCTGAAGAATATAGGCATGCTCATACATCTTCTTAATCATCCAAAAGGCGAGTGTCTTCCACCAATTCTACCACTGCAGCAAAGCTCAGAGGGTTCTCTTTCATTGGGAAATAGACAGTGTCTTAGATAGAAGTACATACTGCCGCTGTAACAAATTCTATAAGCTTTAACAAACCAATTTATTCTCTCACAGTTTAGGAGACTAGAAGTCCAAATTCAGAGTGCCGGGTTGGCTCTATATCCTTTTGACACCTTAGACATCTCCAGGTGTCTTGGCATCAGTCTTTCCTTGAGTCTATGAGGTTCCCATCTCAGAAACCCTGGGTCCAAAGGATGTGCTTCAATCCTTATTTTTCTTTCTTTCCTTCCTTCCTTTCTCCCTCTCTTTCTTTCTTTCTGTCTGTGTTTCTTTCTTTCTTTCATAGGTCTCCCTCTCTCTACTCAGTTCTTTCCATTTATTTCTTGTAAGATAAAAGGGGATATAGACCACACCACAGGGGAACTCTCCCTATAGCAGATCAGTGCTGATCACATGATGAGTGCCTGGGGGGTTTGAACTGTCAACCTTGCACTTAGCAGCCCAATGCAGTAATTGACTATGCCACGAACATTCCAGATTGATAAATATTCTAAAAGAATTCTAGGCACTTAGAAAATTATAAACTATGAGTACTGTTTAAAATTTGAGAGTCAAAATCTCTATCTCTAATTCTTTATCACTATCGCAATAACCACTTTACTCTTTTTTAAAACATTTTTTAAAATTATTTTTTAATAGTTTTATTAGGGGCTCATACAACTCTTATCACAATCCATACATACATCAATTGTGTAAAGCACATTTGTACATTCATTGCCCCCACTTTACTCTTTCCATGTGCTTATTTTACATGGCTATGAATAGACTGCAGCTTCTCCTGCCTTTTCCACAGTTTTTCATATTATTGCAGATCATCGTCACAGCTTGTAAGCTTTTCATGGTTGCCTAAGCATCTCACTAACTCCATGTGCTAGAGTTTACTTAACATTTAGGCTGTTTCAAATTCTTTATTACTAAAAGCAACACTTGGAAGAGCTTCATGAATATTTAGGATTTTTGTGTCACTTTCCAAGAAGTGGGCCAGTGGGTTCATAGATACCAGTCAAAGGGTACATGCTTTCATCAAAAGCTTTGTTCAAATGTTTCTTTTTTCCCTTTAATTATTTTATTGGGGGCTTATGCAACTCTTAGCACAATCCATACATACATCAATTGTGTAAAGTACTTCTGTACATTCGTTGCCCTCATTCAAATGTCTCAAGAATTAATTTCTACAAAAGTAGGGGATATTTTTCTCTTTAGTAATCCCTAGACTCAGTTTGTTTCTTGCATCCTGATGAAAGAGCCATCTACCACATCGTATCTTGGAAGCTACTGTTGAGAGCTACCAAAAATAAGGAAATGGTGGCCTGGGCCTTGTGGCCTGTATTGATAACGCTCACATCACTGTGTCTCAGATCCCCGAGACCTGCCTGGGATGCTGTTGGGCAGCGCAGTATCTTCAGCATCTCCTCTACCTTTCCATATCTCAAGGCATAGCTTCGTGGGTGACCAGAGTGCGTTCTGGATAGGGCCCGGAAGGCCTGGAGAGGTAGCAGCTGATCACTAAGAGTCCAATCTGATGGCCTGGAACATACACATTGAGATGTGCAAGGAGCCAGACAATGTTAAGTTTAAATAAAGTGGGTTGTACTTTCTTTGAAGCCACCTGGGGATGGCTTTAAGGTCCAGAAGAGCAAAGTCTTAAGACAGGTAGCCACATGCTGCAAGATTTTACTGTCAGCTGCTACCAGCCGGTGTCCACCCCCAAAAAAATTCGCCGGAGAGAGGCGCTTTCTCCAATGGACTCCGAAGTGGTTACCGCTCGCTATCTGGGCCAATCCAGAGCGGCGTCGATTTAGCTTCATTGTAAGAAATGTGTTTTCCCGCGCAACACAGTTTGAACAAATGAGCGTTTTTCCCAACAAAGTAGCCCAAACAGGACCGTGAGTACTAACTCTGCCCCCTCCATGGGTATGTGCCTTCCTCTTGCACCAAAGAAAGTGCTCAGCGGTTGTCCTGCAGTGTAGACCCCTGCAGAACTCCACTCAGGCCCCGCCCCCGCCCCCCAACCACCCTAACTGCTCCCTAATTACATCATAGCAGTTTCCCTCCTTTCAGGCCCCAGAAATGCCACAGCTAGCTGAGCAATAAGGCTCTTTGCACAACCACTGGCTCTGGGGGCCGGTTCTCCCTGAGCCTCTGTAAGTGACCTCATTCCCGCTCTAGCCCTATTCCCCTGAGGCCCGGACCCTCTCCAAGGATGGTCCCTGGTCTGCCTCTGGCGGGGGTAGCTCCATCCTGGAGGTAATACAACTGCCCAGGACACCTCAACGTCTCCTCTCGCCCCCATCCGGTTGCTTGGAAATTTGCACTGGACTGCTGACGTCACACAAAGAGGCGGGTCCCTACTGTCCCGCACACCAATGGCGCAGCCGTGGCCGGTCTCTTCTTTTCCCGTGATTGGTGTCTCGGGCCTCTCCGCTCCACCCCATCCCGCCATGGCGTCAGGCGCTGCGGCACCAGGGAGGTGGTTCCCACTTTAAGAAGTGAAGTTTTTAACCTCCTCCCCCTCCCTGCCCACCTCCAGCAGCCGCCAGTGCCCCGGGGAGCTGGCGGATGGAGCTACGCCGCGGTGGCGTAGGGAGCCAGGCTGTGGGGCGGAGGATGGACGGGGACACCCGAGATGGCGGCGGCGGCGGTGGCAGCAAGGACGCCGGGTCGGAGGACTACGAGAACCTGCCGACCAGTGCCTCCATCACCACGCACATGACAGCCGGCGCGATGGCTGGGATCCTGGAGCACTCGGTTATGTACCCGGTCGACTCGGTGAAGGTGAGCCCGGGGGAGACAGCGGGCCAGGGCTAGAGAGCAGGCGCGCGCCGTTGCAGCCGTGCGAGACCGGAGCGGGCAGCGCAGCGGCAAGCACGCTGTCCGCGGAGCGGCGCCGGGCGTGGAGCGCGCCCAGTGGCCGCTCGGCCCCCTCCCGCTTGGGCAGGAGGGGCTAGAGGCGGGGCAGGGGTCTCCGGGAGCCCCCCGGGGGCGGCCTGGGCGCCGGGAAGTGCTCCGTGCGCTGCTCCCCGCGCCGTTCCTTCCGCCACGCGTTTGGGCGCCCCGGGCGCCCCTCGACCTGGCCCGGCGGCCGCAGCCTTGCCAGCCTGCCCTCCCCGCGCGGTTCGGGCCGGCCGCACCGGGCGCCGGCCTGGGCGGTCCCGAGGCAGGGGATCGGCGCAGCGTCCTGCAAGTTCAACTACTCCTGCGCTCGCGATCGGCGATTTGGGGGATCCTGGGTGGTTGCTGGGTGACTGCGGAGGCGCTCCCTGCCCGCAGGCCTGTGTGGGGAGCCTGAGGCTGCCCGCACGTGCGGCGCTTGCCAGGGAGCTCGCAGAGGGGAAACGGTAACCACGCTCGCGCAGCCCGGCCGCGCGCCTTCCAGCCTTGGCGCTTGGCTTCTGCTTAGGGGTTTTTTATGGTTTTTTTGTTTTTTGGAGGGGCGGGGTGGTGGTGGCTGGTGGCGCAGTGGTTAAGCACTCGGCCGCAAACCGAGCGGCGGCCGCTTGGGAACCCGCCACCAGCTTTGCCGCCTGAGTAAGATGTGGCAGCCTGCTTCCGGAAAGGTTGATAGCCTTGAACGCCCCCAGGGCAGTTCCACGCCATCGCGCAGAGCCCCTGTGGATCGGAATGGACTCGCTGCCAGTGGGTATGTGTTGGTGGGTGGCGCTCTGGGCAGCCGGGCGACCGCGAGACCTAATGACATTTGCCTTCTCATCTTGTTTGCACGGAGGCCGACCGGGAAGGAGAGCTCAGGCTACAGGACTCTTGTTGGGAGTTGTGTAATAGGCACTCAGTTGGTCTTTATAATAAACCGATTCTGGTCCCTCCCCCAAGTAGTTGGGAATGCACTTCCTTCTGGAGGTAGCTTGACCTTTCGCAGGCGATTTTCCCCGGTCGGCTTCAGAGCTGCCCTCCCACCGCTTGTTCAGGAGGCCGAATAGCCCCTTCCTAGCCTTACAGGATCGCATTCCCACAGCAATTAATCCCCGGGGAAATGGCGATTCATGGATAAAGAAACAGACGCACAGAGAAGTGAACTGATTGATGTACTAGGTCTCATACATCTCTTATACCCTCTGACCTGCAGCTCAAATATACTGGGATCATTGAGGATCTCTAAGTGGAGTTATCTCAGAGGCAGGGCCCACAGAGGCCCCCCCACCCCCCACTTGTACCTTGTTGCTAATGTGTGAGCTGGCACGCAGGCCAGCCGTTCTAACTGAGCGCTTTCCCTACCCTGGGCAGCCCTAGAAGAACTGGGGGCTGAGGCTGGGCAGGCACGAGCCAAGGGAGAAAATGAACACATATTTGTAATAAAACGAGGCTAGGTCTTTCCTCCTGGTGCTGCACACCTGAGCCTTCACGCCTCCTCTCCAGGGTGCCTGTGGGGAATTCGGCGAATGGTTCTTGCCTGCCACAGGTACCAGGTGACCTAGGACATCTTGTCACCTAGGTTTCCAGGTTTTTCCCGGACAGGCAACTCAAACTCCCTGCCGTGGAACAGAACCCTGTGGGTTTCTGAGACTGTAAATCTTGACCGGAGTGGAAAGCCCTGTCTTTCTCCCCTAGGACAAACTGTAGGTGGTATTTGTAGCGGAAGCAATCCTTCCAAGGTAAGAGAATTTTCTGCATTGGAAGCTGTTGTTTCAAATGCATGGGGGTAAGTTAGTAGCAAGGGGGTATTTTTTGAGCCAGATGCTAGACTCTGGGCCTGAAGAAGCCGTGAGCCTTATTAAGGAGCTGCCTCACCCTCTTCCGCCGCTACTCCCTCAGGCCTTTGTCCATTTTACCACAAGTTTAATTCTGGGTATCATTTTCACTTATTTTTAGTATTAAAAATAACTCGTCTTGCATTTTGAGCTCCCGTTGATAGTCAAATACAGTATTTGGCTCGAAATGTAAAGGTGTGATCTATGTTTAATAGCCTACCTGTTCTTCTTCCCGCCCCCGAGACATGGGTATACTTTGATCCAGAGGTTACCTGTGTACTTCATACTGTTCTCTGTAGTGGGTTTGCTCACTGAAAGGTCGCCGTTTTGAACTCACTAGGAGAAAGCATGCTTCTGAACGATGTATCGCCTCTGAACCCCAGCGAACAGTTCTGCTCTGCTCCTTGGTGTTACCATGAGTTAGATCGACGTGACTGCTACGGGTCTAGGCTTTGTTGGGAGGCAGTTTTTAATCGATGGGATAGGTTAGCACGGCGGGCGTGGTAGACAGGGCTGGTCTGGCTTTCCTGAACAAGTCTCGGAAGGCTTTGCACATCTTACTCAGTAAGGTCTTCTGGAATCTAGAATTTGAATTCTGACACCCCCCCCCCCCCAAATCGGACCCTGCGGGATTTTTCTGTACCTAGACACGCATGTTTGAGCTTAAAGCCGCTTCTCATTTCCCCCCTGCAACTTTCTTGGCATGATCTCAGGGGTTATTCTTTTCATTTTTAAGCTGCGACAAAAGACACAGAGTGAAGTGATGTGACCTCGGGTCACAAGGTGGTGATCGCTGAGTACCAAGGCTGCCCCCACGCTTCAGCCGTGGGAAAGCTGCATTTCCAGAGACCCCAGCCGGAAGGGTTTGGATGGTGGAAGCCCCGAGTAGTTGAATCTAGAGATTCGGGTTCCATTTCAAGCTGTTCAGGACTGGCTTCCTGCCTCACGCAAGGCTCTGGGCTGTAGTTCTGACACTCGTAAAATGGGGCTGTTGCCCCATTTGGTGTTTTTTCAACATTTCGAATCCATTTCCCTTTTCAATAAAAGCACACCTCTTTGTTCTCTTGGATGTTCCTTGAAGTTTCAAACTAATTTTCACACCTGAAACCCAATGAATGTAGTCATATCTTGTAAGAAAACAAAGACTTTAATTTGGACAGGCCGGTCTCCAAATGGACTGGAGAGTGCCTGCCTGCCCCTTCCTGCTCTTCTGTCCCCGGCTGTATGGGCAACAGCACTGGTCACTTTCAATCTTGGGTCTTGGGAGCTACTTGGCTTGTAGTCCTAATACAGAAAACCAGCTTTTGAAAACGCTTAAAATGACCATCTTGAATATGCTTTTTGTGAGGTGCCCGCCTGCACACACCAATACCTTCCTTCATGACCCGTTGCCTTTCAAACTGTGGCTTGTGACCCACTAGTGTGACTGGCATTTTAAAAACTGATTGGTGAGAGTCCGAGACATGAATGAGCATGGCGTGTGGAGATGTGTTATTCTGTGGCATTTTACTTAGGTTATTATGTATATATGTATCTTCCCAGGGTCTCACTCAAGCTTTCACTGCCGTCAAATCCCTTTCAATTCACAGTGACCCTACAGGACAGGGTAGAACTGCCCCTGTGCGTTTCTGAGGCTGTAACTCTTCATGGGACTAGAAAGCCTCGTCTTTCTCCCAAGCAGCAGCTGGTGGTTTCGAACTACTGACCTTGGAGGTAGCAGCCCAAGGTGTAACCACCTCTTGTGTTTTTCAGTTTTTGAGTTGGGTAGCAGTGCAAACTCTCCTCCTTTCAGGGTTATGGTTTTAAAAAAAGGTAGAGAAACATTGGACCTGGCGATCATTAAGCTCTTTCGAGTTCAAATTCATCTAGAAAGGGCCCAGCCTCTGGCTGCAGGTTTTTTCCATGTCTGTTCTGAGCCCTGCTCTAGGTACCAGGGGAAGGAGGAAGCATGGGATCTCTGTCTAAAGACTTTGTCAGATGGAAACAATTTCTTGCTCCTTGCCGACTGGGCCTTTGGGCTTTGCAACAGGTTTCCCATGAGCTGCTTTTCTGGCCCTCGGCAGATGTGGGGTGGCCTGGACCAGCACTTGGGGTGGTTGTGAGAACCCCAAGTCCGGAGTGCTCAAGACTGCAGGGAGAATGCCAGGGGGGTGGAGGAGGAAATTCCAACCAGATTAGGCACACCACTTGTAGACCACGCTGAGTCCCGCGTGCGCGGTGGAGAAAGCAGAGGCAGAAGGAAACAGGCAAGGCTTGACGTGAAGGAACTTCCGCTGACCCATTCTCAGCTCACTCTTGCTTTACTCAAAGCCAGGGAATCCCCTGTCTGATAACTCTTTCAGGATAAGCCTACTTTCCCCAGCGCAGCTTCACAGTCGCGCCTTGTAAGGCTCAGCCTTCTCTCTAGGGGCTTGTGAGTGCCAGCAAGCTGGGCCCCTCATGTTGACCCAAGTAGGCTTCCTGACTGGCCCTGCCCAGCTCGGTGCTGCCCTGAGTGAGGCAGGTGGCCAAGGCAGCTCTGCAGTCCGAAACTTTGGAGTGTCCTCCTCACGGCCCCCTCCACGCAGGCTGGTTGGTGAAAAGGGTGCAGAGAGGAGAGAAGGCAGCTGCAAGTTCCCTCCTACCCGTCTCGTGCCTTCTGCCAGAGAAACAAAGGCCAGGAGATGCCATTCTGCTTCAAATGGGCGTGAAGCCCCAAATTGCTCTGGTTCCTGGAACAAAATTATAGTGATTTTTGTGTCTCTCCTCTTCTCCTATCTTATTCAAGTCACCCCCTGCGCTTTTTCCCTCTCCTTCAAAGGGAGGCGGGGTTTTAGAAGGTGGATCTGGGGTAGGGGAGCATTTTTGAGCTTCCTCTGTCTCATAAGCTCCCGGGTGGGATCTGTGGGGGTAAGGTCCTACCCGATGGAGGGGAGGAGGGAGCTCTGGGTTCTCCTACAGCCCCAGAGCCAGCTTTCAGTTCTGTCCCAGTTCACTTTCTTGCCAGCCCACCGATCTCCTCTGCTGGCACTCGGTTGGAGTAGACAGGGGGGAGGGGCCGGAGTGTCCCCTCCAGGACTATAGTATAGTGAC